CAATTTGTTAATGGGGCTCGATGTTTAATCCAGCTGGCTTTGCGCGCTCATAGTCGGAATCGATGCGTTGTTATTTTTCACCCCCCGATGCCTCGGGATCGTCGGTCAGGGCGACCTCTGTGGAGCAACGAGATGGTTCTCAGTCAGGTTCAGCCTTGTCCGATGGCAACTCAAACCTCGTCGTGTGGACCCAAACCAAGGGATAATGAACAAAGAGGCGCGCTCCTCGCCACATTCCACCTCATCTGTCAATCAAACCGCCCCCCCCCCACCACCGCCCCTCCCCCCTCCCTTGTGCTTAACGCACGTGGAGGGCCCTCGAGACAATGCGTCTCTGTGTTGCAGGGGGATACCTGTTTTAGGGTAATGAAGTGCATGGAATGTGTGCGTGAGTGAAGACGCAATACGCAGGCAATGTCAGGCACCAGTGCAGAGGTAGGTTTCAAACGACGCATAACGGACCATTGTCCCTTATGCGGCGGACAACGAACACCATCAGCAGTTCCTGAAGACGAGTTAAGCACTGCGCTCCGCATTGTGGCATTGATGATTATACCGTACTGATGGGTTTCAATAATGACGATACCGGTGACCTAAGAAAAGTGACCCACAATGCACTATTGATGTTTTTTTTTTGCAAAATTCACAGAAGATGTGCGCTGTTGACGCCTTTTAACGTGTTGTTGTTACGTGTTGTTGTTGTTGCTGTTTGAAACGTATGGTTTTCCAGCATGCGCTACGTTTCCACTATTTTTATGGTGGGGAGGGGGGGTCTCGTCATTTACACATTTGATTAGAGTGCAGTGCTGCAGTGACAATTGAAGTTGTATGCGACTCATCGTGAGTGGAGTTGTGGCGCAGTGTTGCGCTAAAGACCTGGCTACTTGAGTTCAATTCCCCCGGCCACGATTGGTATTGGCGGGCGATATCTGAACAGGTCCTGGACTGCCGCCGTCCCCCGACCCCCTTCACCAACCCGTACTCCTTAAGCTCACGACACGTGCATTAAATTGTGTTGTTTACAGTATGAACAGGTTATTTTCACATTTTTGTTACTTATTGCACGATGATAATGTATATGTATATTTTGTACGTATCAGTCATGCGGATTGTTTGACCATACCTCACCACGCTGGTCAGCGCGGGTTGGTAAAGGGTCGGGGGGGGGGGGTGTGGAGGGGGCGCGAGACCGCGTCAGGTTTAACTCCACCGCTGATGTTCGGCATGACCGGGAATTAAACTCAGGTCACGGTTTTTCACAACGCAGCGCCGCTACACCACTGTGCCACCGCTTACCCCTTGAAAACACGTTAATGTTCATTTTAGGATAATTGAACGGAACAGGGCAATAACCAACAAAGCGTACGCCAATTCTTCGAGTCGAATGGCAACCCATAATCCTGACATTTAACCGCATCGTCGGAATTGGTGAATTGCTAATGTCCTTACTCGAGCGTGAGTGACAGCAGAATGGCGAGAGCGCGGCTATATAGAGAAAGAACTCCATTCCTGATATCGCGTCCACGTTTCAACGCGCCACGGGTCCAGGCGATGAGACGAGCCGCAGTCGATGCTCTTATCGGGGGGGGGGGGGGCAACCATCCATCTATCCATTCATTCGTTCGTTGTTCGTTCGTCGAGAGGGTCCCCCGCATCGGCCCGGCCTCGGCTCGTCCCTCGAGAATCGTACGCCTCGCCACTCGACAGTCTCAGCCGTCAAAAGGGCGATGCGACGAGTGACGGCACACCGCACACAATACTCGCCCGTCGACTCCAAAGCCCACTCCTGCACGACCCAGTCCCCTTCCATCAAACCTCCCAAATCCTCCTCCCTGGCCAGGCGCTCACTCTTTCACCTCCGATCTCAATGCCTCGAGGGATTACGCTGACCGCCAGCTGTGCGCTCAGCGCGCTCCGCCTCGTGCCGGGTTTTGTAATGTAGATATTGATAGGGTGTAATCGCCTTGACCTCCGGCCTTCCCCCCGCGCCACCCCCTTTAAGGCGAGCCGGGAAGCCCCTTGATGGGCCCCTGTTCTGCGGCACCAACCCCCTAAAGAGTGGTCGTGGTGTCCTCTGGGGGCGGGGGGGGGGGGGCACGGCAGAGAGAAATGCACTGCGGTTGCTGTGGTGTCTTTGTTAGTAGTCGGTCGCAGACGCTCACTCGTGGACGCGTGGGAGCGTTGCTCGCGAGGCGTTTAAAACAAACACATCGGTTTATTCATAAAACAATGGGTGGAGCAGTGGTGCGTTGGTTAGTGCGATGCCCATAATGAACCAGGTAACCTGAGTTTGATTCCAGGCCACGGCTAGCATCAGTGGCAAGTTCTATCTGAACCCGGTTTATGGGTCCTCCGTTCTGCAACCAAAATTGGCAAGCATGGTGAGGTATGGTCAAAATAACCCTCATCACCGACAAGGCGTCGGGAGGCCTTCAGTCCGCAGTGGATTTATAAAGGGCTGTGAATTAAACAATATTTTAGGATACGTACAGCGGGTGCTACGCTATGAAAAATGTGTGCTTTATAACTAAAGGCCAATGCGTTCATTAATAAAGCAGCTGTCTTTAGACTCGTGGTTGTTAACCTGGGGTGCACGCACCCCCTGGGGGTGGCGAGATGCCCTTTCTGGGGATGCGAGACATGGCCAGATGATTTTTTTAAGGCAAATAATCGAAACACAAATTAAAGCACTGGGAACGCAAGAACAACTTCTTTGTTTCATCAAACCCTATGTGTTTATGGACATTATACATCGTTTAACGAGTGAGAGCCAACGGGGGCGCAAGGCTGCAGTGAAGGTTAAGAACCACTTTCTTTAGACCAACGTTACGTCTTCACGGGGTCTTCGTGCAGGCGCGTTTCTCGACAGACGTCCGCACACCGCGTACGCGTGTTTAACACGAGTAACACTTTGCGCTCGTGACTGACAAAAAAAAACACCGTGGTGGTGATGATATTTCATAGCGCGCATTATCAATATTTGCGCATGACTTTTCCAATGCTAGGTTCTGGTCGGTGATCGTGGTGACTTAGCAGATGCATTTAAATTGCAACTCCATAATTGAAGTAATAATTGACGTCATTTCTAATCCAGTAATAATTCATAATCATAATCCATTACAACATTACACGATCTTCAAGCAATTATTTACATTATCCACATTTAACGCAGCTTCAGGAATAACTCACGGGACATTTAAGACATACATTTTATATACAATCAGCCAATGAAACTTCCGGACTCTACATTATGGGTCTCAACCATGAGCAGTCAGGCCTGTTAAACCAATGCTGTTATGTCGCCAGATGTTAGAGGCACGGAGACATCCATTTAAGCTATGGGTCTTGCCGGCGCAAAAAATGAAAACCGAACACAAACTCATACAGATGTATTCCCGCGCTGCTGCTCCGAGCTTCTGGAATCGCCCTGCAGCTCATCTTCAACGCGGTTCCCTCCCTTCACACCTCCCCTCCCACCCACCCACCCATATTAAACAACCAAACACGCATAGTCTACTTTGACCTGCACCTGACTGTTTATTGCTCTCGTGTTATATTTGCATGTGTTTCGTTTACGGATCTTCGTAAAGCTCGTCGTGTTAGTTTTCGTTTGATAGTGAACCTCGTTTGTTAGTTGTGAAAAACTATATTCCTTACGCACGCCGTGAGCGGGGGCCGGATTAAGATTTTGTACAGGCCCCTGGGCTACGGGTACTGCGAGGCCCCCAGTAATATTTTCGAAAGGAAAACAAAGTTAAAGAAGAATAAAAATGTATTTCTACAAGGCTAACAACAAATACAATTCAGCATTCACAAATGAAATGACTTGTCACTTAATCTCTGGAGGCCCTCCAGCTGGCGGAGGCCCCTTGGCTGCAGCCCCCACAAAGCCCCGTGCCTTAATCCGGCCGTGCCTGTAAGCAATATTCACGTCTTTGTTGTTTTGTTGTTGCTGTGCTCACGGATCCCCCTAGTAAAGTAACCGGACAACTGGCTGAACGGGAAGCATCCGTCTTCCAAACAACTCAAATAAACTCATTGGCGCTCCGAGTTCGATTCCAGGCCGCTGCTAACATCAGCTGTGAGTGAAATCTGAAACGATCATGACACCCTTCTCCACTCCCCCTTTCACCAACCCGCGCTGTCCAGAGTGAGGAAGTATGGTCAAACAACTCCCACGTGGCACGCAGCGTGGGGGGAGGGAAGTCTTCAACCAGCAACGGAATGACAATGGGAATTATTATCATTGTGATTAATTATTAAAAACTCATTACGCCATGTCTCTCCGCAAGAGCGCATATAATGAGTTTTTACTTTTAACAATATTAGTGAGTGCGGGGCTCCCAAGTCATGAAACTAGCCCACCCTACACCCGAGATGGCATACACTCCTTACACTCTTACACCGCACACCTCTTTAGAATTTAGAATGAAGCGTGTACAGAAAAAAAGCATCAAACATCCCGCAGGCTAAACATTAAGTCAATTACCAAGCGTTCACGCGCTCGCTCGCGCGTGTGCGCGTGCGTGTTTGGTGTGTGACGTCTGCATACAGAAGAGGAACGCTTCGCATAATTCAAAAAGCCAAACATTACCTGCAAGGTATTCCAACTCATCCGTTACAATTAAGGCAGATTAGCGTCGCATGGCCCGCGCGGAAGCCACGAATTACGCGGCGACCCCAGCTCGATCAAATGATGGCATCGCTTGACCACGAGATCTTAACTCCGATGATAAATAATGGGGGGCGTGAAGGGAGGCCCAGCGGGGCGCTGGGGGTTGGGGGGGGGAGTCGTGGGGCGGGGGGGGTTGGGGATAGGAGGATGGGGGGGGGTGAAGCTAAATGAGATGACGTCAGCGAATTAGCGATGCTCGTAAACAAAGCCTAGAGGAGGGATCTGCCAATGGAGGAGTGGGGGGGGGGGTAGATAATCAGTGGGGGGAGGCGGGATGGGGGGGGGATGGGGGGGGCGGGATGGGGGGGGCGGGATGGGGGGGGCGGGGATGCTCCAGGAAGAGGGAGCTCAGAGTGGCGCGCCAGGCGCGGGATGATGCCTCCTTGATACCCGAGTGCGCAGCACAGAGCCGTCACTGATCCGCGCGCGCACGCGCGCGCACTGCTCCGGGTCCCGAAGTCACCGCCAGTCACAAGCCGTCATCGTCGTCCCCGCTCTCCGATCACAATCTCTATCGCCAACGTCGTCATCATCAGCGCTCGTGCCTCGACTTTTTTCTCGAACCCAGCGCTGAGCCCCCAGTTGGGCGTGAGGCAACGCGCTAGGGTGCAGTTTCAACTGGACGGACATTCAAACCGAGGGGCTTCTAAGAACGTGGCATCGGGACGATCAGGAAGAAGAGTATCAGGAGGAGGACTAGACACACGGGAAGAGGATAGGGAACATCGAGCACAGGATCAGGAGGAGGTTCGTAAGAAAACAAAATCAGAAAATAGGGGAGATTAGGAGGAGGTTCAGGAATAAGCTGAGGAGGAGCATCAGGATCGGAGTTCAGGTCTCGCTATCCCGCACCATGCATCGACCCGCAGGCGCGCTCACCGCCTTCACCATCGACTCCCTCATCGGGGGCGGACAGGGCAGCTGCGGTCAGCTGCTCTACCCGGGCTACCCGGGGCTCTTCCTGCCCCCTTATGGGCCCCTGGTGATCCCCAGCCCAGCCGCGCTGCAAGCCGGGCTGCACGGATTCGCGGGCGCTGCTTTCGGAGCCGCGGGGCTCTGCTCGGCTTTCGCCAGGACCCTGCCGCCCGTGATCCCCGACACGAGGCACTGCTACGGGAAGGGGAGACCCCCGGGCAGGGAGGAGCGCCTTCGCGACCACTCTCACGACTCCTCGGGGAGCTTCTCCCGAAGCCGGGAGACGGAGCACGAGGAGCACAAGGAGACGGAAGACGCGGGGCGAACGGAGCGTCCGCCCGCGGTGGTTCTTCACTGCGCCAAGCCCTGCAGGTCTCCCACCACGGGTGAGGAGCTGAGGGTTCGTGGCCGTTCCGGTTAACGGTGCCGATGTAACAGCGAGTGAATGGGTTGTGGCGAGGCCGGGTCGTTTGCACGACTCTGTGGCAATCGGCTGTGGCATCGTCACCAGCCGATTTAGCACGGTTGGCTACGTACGGTGCGAAAGAAGTTCGACAAACGTACGTACGTCATTATGTTCAGCATCAAGACCATCATTCTCCACCATGTCAATCATCATCATCATAATCGGGAGCTTCATGGGCTTCATCAGCAGCTTTATCATGGCCGGTTGAATAATCATGAGTAAGTAGATCGTGATAAGCCGTGTGGCACAATCATCATCAGTAGGATCATCGTCGCTCAACAGTATTCGTATCGTCAGCCGCATCGTCTTCTATCGGATGCATAGGGGATGTATGCGCGCCGAACTTCTTTGGCGCCGTACGTAGCCAACCGTGCAGAGCGGAGGTGCCCCACGCGCAAGTTCTTCAGTCGTCATCTCGCGTTGTCTTTGCCTGAGCGAGTTGAGCCGCGAGTCTCGAGTTGCGTCCCGAGTCGCGAGTTGAGCCGCGAGTCTCGAGTTGCGCCGCGAGTCTCGAGTTGAGCCGCGAGTCTCGAGTTGTTTCTCTCTCTCGTGTCCCTGACGATGACCCACGCTGTCCAACTCCTGCACGTCTGCGGAGTGTGCAGAGTTGTTCGTCTCTTGTAGAAATACTTTGGTGGGGGGGGGGGGGGGGGTGAACAGCGGCTGTGTTCTCATTTAGACGAGAGCGGTGGCTAATTGGCGCCTGTGTTATCATGTGAAAGGCAGACGGCGCAGAACAAGTTCGCGTAACAAGAGAGAGAGAGAAGAACAGGAAATGAGAATAGGCTTTCCCCTTTCAGGCATCAAAACAGGCGTTAAGATGTTCAAACACGAAATAGATACATATTTCAAGGCATGATCTCTGCATTCACCACACAAACTTGTGGCAAAAGATGCAAACAAATATTGCCTTGATCCCATTTGCATTTTCTTTGGTATCTCATTTGGTGTTTGAACATCTTATAGGCATGTTTTATTGTCAGACAGGGTAAAGGCCTATTCTTATTTATTCATCATTTTGATTCTGGCAAAAAAAAAGTCCCGTAGATAAAGACATGAAATACAGGGATTATAGATAGATGGGATGCGTGCTATCAGATAAGAGGTGATTAGTCGATGTGTATTGTAGGGATTAACAGCCAACGCGTGTTAACAGAGACGAATAGCAGATGTCTGCTTTACGACGAGGTAGATGTGTATGTGTTTCACGACATAGGTGTGGAGAGTTTAGGCCAGGAATGAACATCGGACGTGTGTTTTAATGTAGAGATGAGCAGCTAATTCTGCTGTGAGATAGAAATGAAAGGTAAATGTAATGCGGAGGTGTTCAAATGTATGGGACAGTGGTTAATAATACCAATTCTATTTTTTATATATAGCGTCAATCGTGCTAGTTGCATCTCAAAACGCTAGACGATTTAACCCACTATACAACCATCTTAAAATAAATACAAATCAGCAAAAGAAGGCAACGGGAACACCACAAATGAACACAACACGACCAAGGGCACGTAGGTAAGCAAAGCTCTGATCAGTTGGGACGACATCAATCACTCGGGCACTCAAGTCGCTGACCCGTGTGACAAAAGAGCTTTATAGCTCATCGGATTCCTCCAGCGTAAATAACTATTCTGATTCTGATCCGAGAAAGTCGAGTAGGTGTGCGGGCCAGTAGATGTGTATGCACAGTGGCCCTCCAGCCACAGTGGAGGGCGGAGGAGCGACGCTTACAACAACGAGCAGAGCGCCGAGTGGATAAAACGCGGCAAGATAGCACGGTGGTGCATATGCCAGCCATCTCAGTCAGTCAACCCACGGCACCTGGATCTGTCCCGTGACCTCCTGCCAGGGGGCCTTCGACACTTGGCGTGGCCTCAAAGTGCACCTAGTCTGGCACAGGCACTACGGTGATGTCACCGACACTCAGTGGAGAACGGCGGTTGTTGCTGTTTGGAGTTACACAGTCGATGGGGTTGTGATATCTGGGATCAGCACTAGGTGCATCATGTGGTAAGGCAGTACAGGTCAGAACTGTCTCTAGGGTATGGCGAATCGGGGCGACTGCCCCGGGCCCCGCGCTTGGGGGGGGGGGGGGGTGGGCGATTCAACGTGAGGGTGGCAGATGTCATACTTCCCATTTACTTCGAAGGCACCGAGGCGGCCCACACGGTGTGATTTGCCCCGGCCCCGCGCGCCCCTATGGGACAGGTGTGCTTGTGTATGCACAGCAGTCGCCATGTGTGCGACTCGCCGCGTCGTAGGTTGCACACGGGTGGGGGAAGGATGGGGGGGGGGGCAGTTAATGGGGGTCCCTGTAGGAGTCTCTGCGGGAGGCTCAATCTGTTTGGATCTCGTCTGTGTGTGGGGCCGGTGGGGGGAGAATCCCACTCTGTTAGGGTCTCTGAATTCCACTCCGTCTGGGTCTCTCCCACTCTGCGTGCTTCTCTGAATATGCGTGGGGGGGGGGGGGTCTATGTGGTACTTGTATGGGCCTCACTACGTTGGGGGTCTCAATCTCTGTATCGACGGGGCTCTGTTGAGGCTCAATCTGTAAAGGGCTCTGGGGGTCTCTGTGCGGGGTCTCACTGCCCGGGGATCGCTTTGGGAGGTCACCCACTGTACCTGTCGTCCTGGAATCTATGGGAATCTGTGGGTCTCTGTAAGGGGTCTCCATGGGATATCCATATCTCTATGGGGTCTGTATGCATTGTCTGGGTATCTATGGGGTACTCTCTTTGGAGCCTCTGTTTTGGTCTCTGTTGGAGAGCCTCTGTAGATACCTCCTTAATGGGTCTCCGTAGGGATCTGTTTTGGTCTCTGTCTGAGGCTGTCTGTGTGTAGGGTCGTCTCTGTAGACGGGTCTCTTATCTGTGTGTCTGGTGGTGTCTGTGTAAGGGGTTGCCTCTGTGTGTATTATGTTGGAGTAAGTCTCGAAGGGAGTGGTTCTTCACCTGGGGTGCACGTGCTCCCTGGGGGTGCGAGATGCCCTTTCTGAGAACCAACGGGGTTGCAGGCTGCAGTAAAGGTTAAGAACAACTGGTCTAAAGGGTCGATCTATGCACGTGCGTGTGAGTGCGTAGGGGTGGGCACTGTGCGTGTGTCTGTGCGTGCGTCTGAGTGTGTGTCTGTGCGTGCGTCTGTGCGTGCGTCTGTGCGTGCGCATGGTTTTGGGGAGCGGTGGTGTAGCGGTTAGCGCTACGCCACGCTACGAACCCGGCGGCTCGAGTTCGATTCTCGCTCACGGCCTACACCGTTGCCAATTATCTGAACCGGTCCTGGACCTCCCCTAAGTCGACCAGCCTCCAACGAGTGCCCGGTGCTGTGTGTGTGAACGTCGCCATTGGGCAGACAAAATTCGGTCGGGCTTTATTGCTGGCCACCCACCCCCTCGTGTATCGTGCCGGCCTTCATAGGTGCTCGCTAACAGCACTTGGCCCCTACCGTCTGTTCAGGCTATACGGGGGATCTTTGTCTTTTGCGCATGGCGGTGCTGGTGGTGGTCTCACTCCCCGCGTGTCTCTTGCACTGCAGCGGCGCGGGTCGCGGCCTTCAGTCCCGGGGGGATCGAGGGCACGCGGGGCGGGCGCGGCGCCTCCTCCTCCTCCTCGTGCTCCGCGCCCGACGACGAATTCTCGTGCGACAGCGACGCTGACCACTGCAGCTCCGACGAGTTCAGCGGAGACAGCCTGCACTCCCCACGCGCTCTTCCCGCTACTCCCCGCTCCACCAGAGTGTCTCCCCCCCACTCGTCGTCATCGGCAGCATCCTTCTCGCCGGGTGACAGAGGTTACGCGGCCGAACACGATCAGCATCGCCGCCACGATGACCATCACCGCGTTGCTGAAGACCAACTTCAGAATGACCACAATATTCACCACCACCACCAGCAACAGCATCATCATCAGCATCTTCAGCAGTCTCACCACCACCACTTCGACTTTCACCAGCAGCAGCATCAGCAGCAAGTGGGCAAGTCCAATCTCAACCCCCAGCAGCAGCAGCAGCAGCAGAGGAGACGGCGGCGCACAGCGTTCACGAGCGAGCAGCTGCTGGAGCTCGAGAAGGAGTTCTTGAGCAAGAAGTACCTCTCCCTGTCCGAGCGCTCTCAGATCGCGGCGGCGCTGCGTCTCAGCGAGGTGCAGGTGAAGATTTGGTTCCAGAACCGACGCGCCAAGTGGAAGCGCGTCAAGGCGGGCAACGGCGCGTCCCGGAGTGGGGAGCCGACGAGAAACCCCAAGATCGTGGTGCCCATCCCCATCCACGTGAACCGTTTCACCGCACGGGGAATCCAACCGGGGGGACTCGAGGCCGGTGGGCAGAGCCAGCCAGAGCAAGACAATATGTAGTCTCCCCCAACCCACATCGCTCCACTTTGGTTCAACCAGGGCAACATCCCCAACTCCCGTCTGGACTCTGAGGCTCGGCTCCGGACAGCTCCGGCTGAAATTGATCCCTGGGTTAAAGACGCAGCCTCAACTATTCGTCATCAAAATAATATAACAGGGCCGATTCATTGATGGATGAAAGCCACCCCAAAGCCGATTCCATCTCCTGTGATCCCGTGATGCAACACCTACAACATGAACGAGCTCTTATCTTGTAGCTACACTGCTTGGCTGTGTAGTGATATGGGCTGTCCCAGCACGTGTCCGCAGCTTCGCTTGTGTGTGGGAACATAAATTAAACATTTAGCTCGTTCTTGTGACACCCTTGCAGTGATGTCCAGATGCAAATCACAGTGAATGCGCCCGATCACGTCAGATCTTAGAAGCTAAGCAGCGTTGAGCCTCCAGGATAGTGCTGGGACGGGAGACTGTTCGCTAATGTACACCAGGCATCGTAGGCTTGAGCTGCGAGGTAAAACCAGGATATGGCAGTGCAGCAACGGTTTTCTTGAATATGTGGGCACAGCAATTGAGAGTTACTCCCTCGTATGGCCGGGTTTTCTTCAGGCATGCGACAAAAGAAAATCAGTTAATTAATGCATTGGTTCAATCATTACTTGGCCAAACATCCCAGTGCAGCAGGAGCCTCTTTTTAAAAAAATGATCTTGAGACTCGGTGAGCTTTTTTAGGAAATATAAAGGGGCAGCATCATCATTGCCGTGTATAATTCACGCCTCCGGCAATCACCTCCGATGAGCACGGTCGGCTACGTACGGTGCGAAAGAAGTTCACCATACATATATAGTGACGTCATTCTAGCGCATTAGCGGTGCTTATGAAAGAGAAAACGAGTCATTCTAAAATATAATAAAGTTATATTTTTCTCCCTCAACAACGAAGCTGAAAACTCGTGTGGGACAGCGCGGAACACAGCGCCCGCGTTGCGGGTGTTACAAGATAACAGCACAGTTGTTGTTGTTGTTGTTACGTGTGGCTCGCGTCTTTGAATATATTTTAAGAGCTGCCCCGAAAAACCCGAGCACGTGTTCGAACCCGCGGCCACGTGCCCAACCCGCGCCCACGTGCTCACGTGCTCACGTGTAAGTCGGTCCCTTTTGAACTTGTCTCACCATCATTGGCCTCCCGCGTCCTCTGCGCGTAGCTGAGAAGCACCAACGACTGTTCGCTCATCACCCGACTTCGACGCGTTGTAAGGAGGGGCAGGCGGCATGTGTTCAATGAATACTCGAGCCTTTGTGTGTCTTTGTGTATATATATATAAAACGCATCATTATACGTATTCGTGTACAATACAATTACCGACTGGTAATGGACATCGTTATCCGCTTGGTTAAGCAGAAGTGTGCGCGCATTGATTGTTTAGGAACAGTCGAGTAGACTTTGCTTCATTTGCGTGCCTTAATACTTACGCGTTCAGCGTATTCGTACCTGAGCTATAATTTCTGCGATTAAATTGTACGTGAGCGTTCACACACCCACACGTGAATAGCGCACATACACGGATGCATTGTTATGTTTGCATGTGCGTGCCTGTGTGCGTCTCTGCGACTGTGTGTGTCTGAATGTACAGGTTTCCCTCGCATTGTGCGGTAGATGCGTTCCAAAAAAGGGTTCACAAAGTGAAATCGCACGAGACAGCTGCCTGCCGAGTAGCGCACACAGTACACACACAGTACACAAACATTACACACACACAATGTTCTACCACGTTCGACCGCATTGCCGCATGTTAGTGAATTAAAACCGCATAGAGCGAAGTTTGGGTTGAAATAGGTTAACCGCATACACGCAAAATCGCACAAACTGAACCCGCACAAAACAAGGGAAACATGTCCTGGAGCAGAGTCGTAGCGGTCCGCGCGCTGCGCTACGATGCAGGCGACCCGAGTTCGATTCCCAGCCACGGACAACGGCAGCGGTAGTTTGTTATCCGAGCTTGTGCTAGGACCGCCATATCGACCATAGGTCGACATGGCCACACATTGCATTACATTTGTGTTCATTCAAGGCCCCAATGTTCTATCCCATTGTAAGCAGGAGTCACTCATATGTGACCTGCATTGCAAACAGCAAAGTTCCGAATGCAACAAAACACACGATTCATTATCATGAACGCAAAAAAAGCTTCTGGTGCAATATACAAACCAAACATCAAGACTAGGGAGACAAAGGCGGCCGGGCGCGGGTCTGACCACACCACCATATCGTGCGTCGTTACGGCCTTAATAGGTGCTCGCTAACAGCATTTGCCCCCCCCCCCACCAGCCAGGTCTAAAAAATGCAACACGGCGGGATCTTTGTCTTTGTGTGCGCGCGTGTGTATACGCCTAACAGACTGTGTACGCCTAACAGACTGTTTCGCCAACAGTCTGTTAAGGCTATACGGTGGATATTTGTCTTTGTCTTGTACGCCTACCGGCGTGGGGAGCGGTAGTGTAGCGGTTAGCGCGCTGCGCTACGAACCCGTCAACCCGAGTTCAGTTTCTGCCCACGGCCAACACCAGTGACCGACCCTGGGCCTCCTCGAGGTCGACTCGGCCTTAAATGAGTACCTGATACTGTGTGTAAACATAGCCACGAGGGAGACAAAGGCGGCCGGGCGTGGTGCTGGCCACCCACCCCCTCGTGTGCCGTTCCGGCCTTCATAGGTGCTCGCCAACAGCACTTGCCGGTTTAGGCGATACGTGGGATCTTTGCCTTTGTGTGTCTGCCGCTATGCCATTGCGTCACTTGCTGGGCTTGTGCGATCATTCACACCCACGCTCACGTGGTTTAACAGAGCAATGGGCCACTGGAATGTCACGCATTAATTGCTTTTCCCCCTTCCACCAAAGGGTTATGCGCAATGCTTGTGGACCGTTCTTTGACTCGTACAACAAAGACAAACAACCTCAGTACAGCCTCAACAGACTGTAGGGACAAGTGCTGTTAGCGAGCGCCTATGAAGGCCGGCACGGCGCACGAGGGGGTTGGGTGGCCAGCACCACGCCTCGGCCGCCTTTGTCTCCCTCGTGGCTATGTTTACACACAGTATCAGGTACTCATTTGAGGCATGGTCGACCTAGCGGAGGTCCAGGACCGGTTCAAACAATCGTGACTTGTGTTGGCCGTGAGCGGGAATCGAACTCGGTGCGTCCGGATTGGTCGCGCGGTAGCGTAGCGCTAACCGCTACACTACAGCTCCCCACTACTTCAACTCACGCACAACACACAAATACGAACATTGTCTGTACAACACTCAACACATTATATAACCTGCGAATTTTCTTTCTTTTATGAAGGTGGTCGTCCTTAAACATATAAACAGTTTCACATGTACGTTTTCGCGACCAATATTATCCATAAGAGGTTTTTTTGTGGTTAGATCGCGTAAATCTACGTGTCGTTAAGACCGAAACAGGAGGATTTCTCCACAACTCTGGCTGTCGACTGATGAGGCTGGTTGTAATTACTGACGAAACGTCGTACACGAATTGTAAATGTTGTGGGTTTACTCTCCAACACACCGGCGTGCTGTACTAGTAACGAATTGGCACGTTTTGTTTACGTGACAAACTTTACTAGTTGGCTGTGTCGGGTGGTGGTGGGTTTAACGACACATTTATATTTAAGCAATCTTACCCACAAACCTCTATTATGGACCATTAAACACATTTTGAACATCTAAATCAATTAAAGAAACAATCAGCCAGCTTGTAAATACATCAGCGCAGTCACCATCGTTATCATGAGCCATGCATGGTATGGCCACTGCCATTCCGTTACCAGTCTCGCTGATCGGATGATGACCGATAGACGCGCTTTGTATAAATGAACGCGCCGTGAATACACACTTGTGCTCCGCCAGACTTTGTCTGCGACGAAAAAAATATATTGTTTAGTCTACGCGTGAATTATATTAGAACGGCAAAAGGTATATATATTCAAATATATTATTCCATCTTTATAATGAGTCTCTTTTTACACATGCGTGAATCGCGGACGCGTGCATGTCCCGTGTATATTATAACAAGCGGCGTGAACTAATGGAGCTGCATGTAATTACATTTGTACGCTTTCGCCTACGATATTTCATAATAAATTATTCAAATCCGAATCTAATTAACGGGGTGCCCGAAAACGCGTCCGGTGCGATGAGCGGCGATGCAGTGGCTCTGTATGTGTGTGTGTGTAATGGGATTTAGCAACACACGCTTTCCCCCATCTGTAACGCAATTAGGATTCGTGTGCGTCCCACATGGCGACATTCAACCCGACGTCAGCTGTCAGTGAGGGTTATCGTGAGTGCCACCGGCGGTGCGCACACGTGGGGAGCGGTGGTGCGGCGGTTAGGACGCTGCGCTTCGAAGCCCGCGACCACAGTTCGATTCCCGCTCAACGTTGAAACGCCGGTGACGGTTATCTGCGCCGGTCCCGAGGCTCTCCTAGGATCGACTCAGCCTCAAACGAGTACCTGGTGCGGTGTGCAAACAATCGCCACTGCGGAGACAAAGGCGGCCCGGGGTGGTGCTGGCCACCCACCCCCTCGTGCACAGTGCTGGCCTTCATAGGTGCTCGCTAACAGCACTTGCCCCAAAAGTATGTTATGACTATACGGGGGATCTTTGTATTGTTTTGCGCACGTGGGGAAGCGAGCACGTGAGTCGTGAAATTGCAGGGGAACTCAAATATCAGTTACCACGGCTACATATACACGGTATGTCTTTGCGTGTCTATCTATACCAGTCGTCTTAGTTCAAATATATGTGGGCATATATAGATATAACATAGAGTTATCACGCACCGCACGCGCATGATGATTGCGAAACTCACACGTGGTGTGCGAGGTAAGTCGTGTAAACATGGGTTCCCCATCCACACCCTCCAATCCTCGTAACCCACCACGATTTCATACGTCGCCTATCCCCTGTACTTTACCCATCGTCTCTGTTCAAATAGAGTTCCATTCATTCGGCCCCGCACACGCCTGATGATTGCTAATCACGTCCCCTCCGTGTGACATCGAGAGCGCTGCTGATTCAAATTGGCTGAGTGAGTGTTTCGTGTGTGCGCGCCGCGTGTGCTCGCTGACGGCACTTGCTCCTACAGTCTCTTGAGGCTATACGGGGGATCTTTGTCTTTGTACGCGTGCGTGTGCGTGTACGTGTGTGTTCCACCGTGGGTAGAGAGGTGAAATCTTTCATTTAAAAAGGGGGGGGGGGAGCACATAAAGTAAAGCATTGAAAAAAAACAAAAAAAACCGAAATGATGAACGAAGCAAAGTGCCGACTACATCGAGCATCTTCTTGTTTCCTCTGATCGTAAAAACGAGAGAGAGAGAGGAGAGACAGAGAGCTCCGATTCAAATAAACAGCTGGCGCTCTCTGTACGTCCTTTGGGTTTGTATGTGTTTAGCGCCTAAATATACTCAATTAGCTCGTGAATACTTAATTTGCATCGGCAAGGAGGTGAATTGGCAGATCCGTAAAGACCCACAGCGGCGGGTAACGAGGAGTGGGCATTAAGATGTCCCTGCTGGAGACATCCCACAATCTCACCCACTGACCAGAGGACAATTTTGAATGAACTCACCGACGACATGACAAAGAAATAACAACAACAACACCACACACACAAAAACCGAATGAATGAATGAATGAATCCCAGACCCAACAAGCGCGGGGCGCGAGCGGTCATTACACGGGAGAGATGCCCCGGCACGCTTAAGCCCGTGCGCGCGTGTGTGTATGTGTGTGTATGTGTGTGTATGTGTGTGTACGTGCATACAGTCCAGTCTCCTCTCATTAGAGAGACACGGCGAGAGAGAGAGAGAGGAGAGTGGAGTTGTTATTCAGAGAGCGCGCACGCCAAGTCCCGTCGGGAGCCGTGTCCGTGGGGTTGGCATGAAAGCCGCCCAGGAGACGAAAGAAGCCCCGAGCGCATCCTTGGAGACGCCAGAGGGGCGGTGTTAATCTACGGACGTATATCATCGCACTGTATTGCGTTGTGTTGTGGAGGGGGGGGGGGCTATATCGCAACAGCAGGAGTATCAGCAGCAGCAGTAGCCGCGTTCAATCCACTGCTGGATGAAAGGCCTCCTCCAAAACCGTCGCCTCTTCTCGCGAGTCTACGACGCTTCGCACGTGCTTGTACAAGACAAACGATCGTCCATGTTAGCGATCACCTATTCAGGTTTGTACGGTGCACACGAGGGTGGCGGTCAGCTGAGCACGGGCACCACCCGTGCCCTGAGACATTCGCACCGCACCAACTCAACCGATCCTTCCCCTAGACTGACTCAGCCTCAAATGAGTACTGCGGTGTGTTCAAACATCAGCACTAAGGCGGTCGAGTGTGGATCTGGCCACGCCAACCCCTCGTGTGCCGTGCCAACCTCTATAGGTGCTCGCCCCAACCGTCTGTTGTTAAAGGCCACGCCAAAAAGCACACACGTCTACTCAGCAAAACAGACCTACACAGGCTCATACACTCAAACACACAAACATACACGCGTGTACAGCTGAACACAAATGTATATACAAAGATCCCCTGTATAGCCTTAATATACTGTTGGGGCAAGTGGTGTTAGCGAGCGCCTATGAAGGCCAGCACGCCACGCGCACACACTTGCACAGGGAGACATGCATGAAACAGGTCCCTGCAGGGTGGGCTGGTAGGACAAGTCTCTGCGCTGTCTATTGCTGATCTTACACCCAACAGCACGAGATTTCACTTCGTTAAAGTATTGAAAGGGGACGGACGGACGGACACATTAATCTATTGCAGGCTGGTACACTCAGTTTACAACTTCGTTCCTACCAGTATAAACTTCCACTCACGCACACACGGACAGACACAGCTACACCCGCAGACAGCAATAGCCGCCATTCGCCACTCAGTGGCGGTGACGTCGCCATTGAAATTGTGCCAGGCTAGGTGCACCTTGAGGCGATGCGAAGTGTCGAAAGCTTGCTGACAGGAGGTCACGAGATAGACCCATGTGACTGAAATCACTGACAGATGCATCGCCTGTTCTCCCTACTGTGCCAACTTTCTGCGTTTTAGCTGCCCGGCGCTCCGCTCGTTATCGCGCGCGGCGCTCCTCTGCCCTCCGTGGTTGCCGCAGGGCAATTTCCTCCAACTGCCCAGCAGCAGCAACAGCAGCAGCGTTCTACACGCGCCTCCACTCCACAGAGGCCGATTTTGACACCTTTGGTACCCCGGTCGTCGGCAGGTCCACTCAGCTCCACATCCTCCTGGACCACGTCAGCCCATCTCTTCTCCAGCCCGTAC